AAGCTCTGGATTGCGCAGAGTACTGGTACCGCCGGCACGTCAGTTTCTGTCAACCTTGCCAGGCAATATATACGACATATCTGGGGACATTCCCAGCAAGTCTGCCATTTCAGGCCGCTCCAGGCAAGTTTTCCTCATCGACACAATATTGTTGTTACTGAGTATCCAACTTATCTGCACACACTGCTTCACCCGTACAGAACCAGTGTTTCCAGATCCTGTTGCATTCACAATTTTTTGTATTCAAAGTGAGATTATAGCGATGACATTTGAAGAAGGATCAATGGACAGGGAGGCAGTTAGAATGGAGACGCAACAGCAGAGGAGAGGACGGTCGAAACAAGCCGCTCATCGGACCCGGCTCTATACCAGCAGAGACATCTACTAACCGCAATTATTGTGTCCTGTGCGACCACGCTAGCCGTGTGCGCTGTGGCAGGAAATCTCAACCTCACCACAAGAGAACATGTAAAGTACAGGTTCAATGTGACTGACGTTTGTGGCGCACTGTGCAGCAGCGGAAAAGTAGAGTGCTGGGGGAATCTCTCTGACGCTCTGTGTGCTTGCGGGGAAGGTGTGTTTTTTCATCTGCAGGACCCGTTGGGAAGGAGATGCAAGCAAACGAGAGACAAGAGCAGTGACTCACGTAAAGTTAGCGTGGATAAGGAAAATAAGATAGCGGAGTACGGTAACGTCAAAAGTAGTCAAAAGTGGACTAGGATGTCCATCGATGACAAGTATCTGCCAGAGAGAACTGCGAGGGAAGCGACCTAACTGCGTGGCCACGGACAGGAACGTGCACTGTACAGTTGACAACACAATGTTCGTGACTAGCGATTTGGGTTGGAGAGAGAAGTAAATGTTAAAGACTTACTTCAGTCTGAACTCGAACAATCTGTCAACTTTTGACTTTGACTCTTTCTTCTCCAGCTCAGTGAAGATTCTCAGAATTCTCTCTTTGTCAGCCTGGTATGCAACCAAACAATGGCAAGAACAAGCCAGCACCATGGCTCGGAGAGGCAAAGTTTTCACTCGGTGGTGGCCTACTACAACACCCATCAACCACAGGCAGGCCCATTCTACCACCCCATTTGGGGGAATTTTGATTTCTGCCTGCAACAAAGTATCTCACCGAGTCACCTCCAGTGGCAACAATAGCTTGGGGCAATGGGCGTGGATCCAACTTCATGGCCAAACACAAGGCGTTGGCCAGCAAGACTTGGTGGTCATCTCTGCCTACCAACCTAACCCACCAAATGACGGGCAACAAACAGTGTGGTTCAAACACAAGGCCCATTTTGGCCGCACCAACCGCAATGCTGAACCCAGGGAAGTTTTCATCAAGGACCTCTTGATGGCAATCAGCAAATGTCGCAACAACGGCTGTTCCATCATCTTGGGCATTGATGCCAACGGTGACTTGTCCTCCTTCTCCCAGAAGTCTTTCCGTTTTTGGATGAGTGAAGTAGGACTGATCAAGGCAATCCAGTCCAAACACCCAGGGTCCCATCAGGCCACTTACAAGTGGAATCTCTGTGGGTATCTAATTGACTGTATCTTTGCAACGCCGTACATGCCCATCCTGGCCGCCGGTTACTACCCTTTTGACAAACACATTGCCTCCGACCACTGCCGCCTGTGGATCGACTTTGACTTGAACCGTCTCCTTGGTGGTCACAAACCTACGAAGTCCACACATGTTCCACACCGTCTGGTGCTGCATAACAAGCGGGTGGTCCAACGTTCTTACGTCCAATTGGCAGAGCAAGGTTACAGGCGGTACAATATTCTGGGTTGTCTCTCTACCCTTGGCTTTGACGTCGCCCAACAGCAGGGTGGCATCACCAAATCCCAAGCGGTCAGATTTGATCAAATACATGCAGATGCCTACACACTTTGACAATTGGCAGAGCAGAACTGCGGAGGTTTTTGATGGGCGGGGCAGAATGGTCTCCTTAAGGCCAATCCATTTGGGACCGGATCACCTCATGGCGCCTTCTCCTCAAGGGCCAACGTCAGTGCCAAGTGAGCTCCAGAAAGCAGCCATGCAATATCCAAAATCAGCTTTGAATCACTGGTAAACATCTTGTGGAAAGAATTGATGCCTACAAGGATTC